GTTAGGCTCTGAGAAGTTTTCCGATTATTGAGGCTTTCTTAGCGCCAATCATCCAAAATCATTGTTTGTGACCAGCACGGTTAAAGAAAAGTGTCTTCATTAAGTGACTTACCAGATAATCTCAAAATTAACGAGTTTATGTCGACATAACTTGTTGCTAGTTTTCGTAGGCTATAATTGGAAGCAATAATAAACATGTGCTACCTGCAAATTACGTTTAGATTCAAAGCGTTTGTGGTCTGAGCTTTGAGGCCCTTCCATTATATTCCCTAGGGTTGCGTCTGCACAGTTTCCATGATTGCGAACTACGATCTGTGGCCCGAACAGCATTGTTGTCCGTCTTCTCCATTATTAAGATGTAGCCCTGTTGCCCAGTGAGAAGTATAAGTGCTCTGGTTTCGTAAATGTCGTTTCTGCGAACTTAAGGTTCGTTCCCTAGAGACCTTTGCTCGTATTTAGTAATCTGTACTCTGGCTGCATCCGTCGAACGCCTTAACACCTGTGATTTACAAAAGAGTGAGTTGGTGTTGTATCTTTCATGTACTTTTCAATAATGATTATTCGAGTCTCATGAAGTCCAAGTAATATAGGATGCATAACTACGTCAATTGTGCCTCAAAACTCTTTGAACACCTCTGTATTTTATAAAGGTTCAGCGAATTCACATACGTCAGATGGCTTGGCGTTAGCAGACTGAGTGCTCCATGTTGATAGACGAGCGATTGTTATTGTAAACATGGATTTGGCCGCCGTCGGTTACCTGAAGGGGCGGCCGCAACACTAAGCGTTTTGTTCCCCGTTGTGCTGCACATAACATACCGAAACGTACATTCACAATTCGTGCGAAGTATCCTTTAGAATGAGTGCTAGGGGTCCTGAAACAAGAAACTAACGATTGACGAAGCGCTACTGTGGGAGCTGGCAATATCCCGAAGTAATCCAGTCTAGTAAAACAGCGAAGGGATTTGGAGATCTTTCAAAAACCTGTACCTAGTTAGCGGAATCAAGACAATACTAGGATCTTCAGCGTTGGTGTTACCAACTCACTAGTGCTGCTTCATACAATGTATGCAAAAAGGTACTAGAGATTTCATTCCAAGCTACTAATTATTTATTCGCATTAAGTCGTGAATTGTGGGATAGGGCTCGCTGCCGTTCGTTTGAGTAACGGAATATGAGAGCGAAATAGGCACTTGGAAAATTGGGCGGTACATCCCCATCTTGCAAAACTATAGAAAGGTCTAAGTTGAGAAACTTCCCGCAGATTCGGGGCTATTGTTTCAGATGTCAGGAAAAAGAACGTATCTGGACCCACCTCCCTAAATAAAGATCAGCATACTGGATAATCTGACTTCGTTATTCAAGTTACCAAAAGTTAGATATCCTTTAAAGTACAAGATAGTTGATCTTCCTTATTCAATACTGATTTTTATTGTCTGGTATACCTCATTGTAGCAGGTGTTGCAGTTGAAGTCAAGGTTACTTGTTTGCGGATTCTATGGTTCATATGCGTGTTATTTTTAAGGAATATTACTGACTAAAAAGGCGTTTAATTCTGTAGCTATCATGTTATCATCTCTTAAAACCCAAAGGGAGCCGAAACCGCTTATACAATACATGTTAATTATTTATGGGTTCTTATAAGATCATATGTGCATACATATGCTGATATAATTTATTCCGAGAAAAAGTGAAGTAATTAACACTTCATGACCACATTAGTGACGGAAAATAAATTCTCAGATCACTATGAGACTAAGATTGAACAATCCACTCATTATCGTTCGGGCAAAGGTTGTAAGGATGACTGAAATGAAAACTTGCAATAAACTAAGTAGGCAACATTTGTATGACTAGTGACAACACTCCAAATTTGTTGGCTACTTCTGAAAAGTTCACCTGCTGAAGTAGTTGTACTAATTTAAATATTGGAAAATTACTAGTGACTTCGCTTCCGAAAGCTAACATGAAAATTAAGAAAGTATGGTTGGTCAATATATATATATATATAATTTATTTATTTAAACGCACAAGCACTGGTACAAGAGGCCCCAAATATACATACGCCACACTTCGTTGTCCGATTTGTGGGCTACAACACTGCCCGGGAGCCCAAACCTAGGCAGGTGGTGGTCTTAGGGATCCACTTTCCAAGCTTTTGATTTAGAAGTCTGATCCACAAGGCAGCGGAACAACGTTAGGAGGTGCAATCCCATGGTAAACGGTGACCAACAATTGGTTCGTACGCCATTTGTCCCCTCGGGGTGTTCCAACCTCCCCACTAGATGGATTCTCTGTACCACCCGACCCGGTTAGTGAGTCGGACGTTCGCTCTTCGCCTTCTCAATTTCGTAAACAAAACACCCGTTGCGAGAAGGCAGTGAGTAGAACTTCCTTGTCGGCGATTGCATATGAGAGCATTTTGTGAGGGGGAGCTTATTCCTCCCACCCTTGACCATACGAGGGCATTTGGGTGATATATATACCTTTTAATCGTTCACCTAGAAATTTAAACTTTGTAACCAGACTTCAAATGAATAAATTCCTCATGAACGCAACTCAGTTTACAGCAGTCAACTTACCTTATATTGCTTATTGAAAATCAGAAGCTAAACGGAAATCCATAAAGTGCTAAACTATAAGCAAGGTAATTATATGAATAGGTATTAGTAAATGATACATGGTTCGTTAGTGGCAAGTTACATCAATATTATGCTAACTGCGACATTTTCTGACAGATTGGAAAGGATCCAGAACCTACGCAACACAGTAATAACCTCTGTTACGTTTTAACATTTCAAATATTTTCTAAAGATGACGCAACGTCGAATTACCAATCGTATAGGCGACGGTATCGTCACCCTGTTGTTCCGATTTCATCAACAGATGCTCCACACTATGCTCAAGTGAGATTGATTTATAAATTAGGCTTAATATAGATATTTAAAACAAACTGTTTAAGGATTTTTTTTTTAATAACTTAAACAGTCCTTGTCGATTTAAATTATGTCATTTAACTCCACGACCAGGCCAAACTGGGAAGCGCTAACATTCTCAATGCTCATAGGAAAACAAGTCAAGCACTACAATTAGTAATTCTGTATGGCTCGATTTAAAGGCATTGCTTAGTGGCAAATATGATTATTGGTCGGTAGATTTATTAGAAAGCAATAAGCAAATCTTTGATTCCATGAGGACCACGGGATTTGGTAAGATTTTGGCATATATTGATATGTAATGAGCTACAGTGAAATTTTAGTAACCAGTAGGAAACACCTAACCATATGACGATCAAACTTGTCCCGATGTTCATAAGTCAGCGTAAAAAAGGTCTACCTCGGAGTACCTGCGTAAAATGCAAAACGTGAAGTAAACACCGTAGATATTTCATCTCACTTAAACATGACATTTATGTTCTTAGGAAGACGTTTTTATAGCTTATTCGTATTGAAGATAGCCTACTGGAAAATGCTTATTGGAGAGTTCACTCAAACGTAACAGTTGGAGTCGACTTTCTGAGTATTAGGGAATAAATTGATTAATAAATACTATCTTTGGTTTACGAAAATGACAAGTAAATATTCTCTCCAACTAATACGATTTGAACGTGAAGATTTCAGTGAATTTATGTGTTTTTTCGTAATCTACATCGTTATTCGAATATCTATCAGTGGGATCTAATTGATAAGTAAGACAAAGGTTACGTCAGTCAGGCTATTTTGAGTGCCTTTCATGAAGAATTACTGTATTTATATTCAATATTTACTTATTTCAAGGCAAATCATATTATTGATTTATTACGCAGGTGTTTGAAAATATTTATTAACCTGTAATTGATTATCTACGGCTTGTCGTGCAGACACTTTCGCACCGGTTTTAGGATTTTTCAGTCATACAAATTGTAGAGCAAATTTATGGACATACGTGACATACCACCTTAAAGAGTGTTTACACTTGTTGAATATGTAGTAACTCACATTCGTAATGATTACAGAATGGATAAATTAAGTTAACAAAATAATATACCACCGAGTATTGAAGACATTTGGATTATTTTGCGGGTTTTTACTAATGAAATTTCCATTGAGAATTACTAGATAATGGGGACATTGTATTCCTACATTTCTTGTACTATGAGCTTCCTTTGGATCCATTGACTGGACGTTTTATTTTTCATCGGTTATTGGTAATTAATTATGTAGCGTCTGTTACTTTCCCTCCTACTTATGACATGAATATATGTAATGATTTCATACTAGGAAGGGTTCTGGTCTGATAATATAAGTATATAAACTAATGACCGAACTACTGCTCGGTGTGTTATATCGAACAGATGGGTGGACTAGAAGTGTGAACGTTTTGGACTAACAGAAGTTAAAATTACCCAAGGCCTCAAACTAAAGAGTCACCATAGCAATCAAAGCGTAAACTGAATGAAACTAGCAATAGCCGAAAATAGTATAGGCAGGGTAAATAAATATAACAAGAGCTTATTTTGGTGAATTGGGTGTTAATATATTGATCAACGTATGCATTTGTTACACAAAGGACCCATACTTAGTCGTGCAAGATGTCCTAATTTCAACGTGATATAAATTTAATAAATCGTAATGCAACAGTTATTATCTTGGTTCCCAAGACTTGTAGGAAAGAAGGCTAATGTGAAAAGTAAAGCCTAGGATGATTGCTTTACAATAGACGTGTTAGTTTTTAATATTCAATGAACAAGAAGCCGAATATTTAGTGTTCATTTGGGTTCAATTCAAAATGTACATTGGCATTTAATAACAATACACTAAACTTACATAATTTTGTACTCATTTTGCAATAAAATATCACACTGAGCGTGAGATCGTTTATTTATGCTCAGTTTTGTGTTTAATTTGAGTGCCTTATACCTGATTTTTTCTTAACACGCTTCTGTTTGGTTGCCTATCTATTAATCTGTTTGTTAATCTTGTTTCATTATTGTATTGACACATGACTATTACAGACACACTGAGTAATTGACATTGAACATCTTTTATTCATTTCAACACAATGTAAAATAGACCAGTCTAATGAAGTCCTGCATTTATGTCACTACAATATAATTTCTGGAAATTCCATTGGCAGTATTATCTCCATGATGGGAGAAAAGTTTGATTACTTTCCCTTTGTATGCACACATCTGGTTCCTCCATATGTAATTAAAAGCCTCATCAATGCAAAAGATACAGATTCATACTGACTTTGATTGATAAGTTTGATTTGATCAAATGACTCGCGTTCAAGTATTCGACTGTTGAACTTTCTTGGAAGTTACAAATACATGAATATTATTTTTAATACAAATAAATCAATTTGTCTACCGAAAGAGGTAATGTCATAAAGTAGATTTACTCTGCTGTACACGCTTCTTATTAGTAGCATAAAGGAAAACATCCAAGTTACCTTCAAAACCAGTTTTTATGGCTCATATGTAACTGATTTTCGGAAGAAATATTCGACGAAAACAGTATAATCGAATTGCTTGTTAGATGATATATAATCAAGGGCCATAAGTAGATCGATAATCACTTGCCCGACTTAATAAATAAATTATTCATTAGTTATGAAGCTCTTAGAAGACAATACCACAAAACATCTTCCATTCAGTTAACAAAGCAATCTAAATATCACAAATGAAACAATCTCCTATATGTAATTAGGTCTAATTCAATGCGACTTCCACTATTTTTAATATTAGGAAGAAGTATTTTGTTTACTTTTTTTAACCAACCTATTATTTAAACAAAGATGGAAGATAAAATGGGCAGGTAAATCAAGCTGACAAGTCCTAAAATGGGACGAAATGCGCTTCCTCGATTCCAGTGCTATCCACTGTCCATCTCTACTTACAATGCTTGTGACCTAAAGGTAATATTGAGGTAATTTGCACAGGATGAGCATGTGCCAAAGGATTGCAAAGCTAAACATTAATGTCAGGATTCAAATAACCAATAAAAATGAAAATGAGTTCCTAATTACATACAATCTCGACTGATTTCCATCGTATATTTTTCTCTGCATAATTGGTGGGTACATCGATTTTCAACTTATTTGTGCTGACAGCTGCACATCTACGTGTCAGATCCACACAAATACAAACCACACTGATCAATAACCCAAGGCCATTAGATAGATGATTATTAACCAATCAGATTCATTTTATAAATTTAGTTTCTGCTATCGACCGCTATGAACCGTTTTTGCCAATCAGAAACAGATATACTGGTGTAACTGTCGTTGACCTAATTTTAGTGAACAATACTGTTATTCCGTTAATTTCACCATAACAGTTGCTAATGGCTCATCACTCATTCGGTTCAGGAAATAGCCTGTACAGACTGGATAGTGTTTTCAATGAGCGGGCGGGACCGAGGATGCCAGGAACACAGAGTGAACGACGGTATCGTCACCCTGTTGTTCCGATTTCATCAACAGATGCTCCACACTATGCTCAAGTGAGATTGATTTATAAATTAGGCTTAATATAGATATTTAAAACAAACTGTTTAAGGATTTTTTTTAATAACTTAAACAGTCCTTGTCGATTTAAATTATGTCATTTAACTCCACGACCAGGCCAAACTGGGAAGCGCTAACATTCTCAATGCTCATAGGAAAACAAGTCAAGCACTACAATTAGTAATTCTGTATGGCTCGATTTAAAGGCATTGCTTATCTACGGCTTGTCGTGCAGACACTTTCGCACCGGTTTTAGGATTTTTCAGTCATACAAATTGTAGAGCAAATTTATGGACATACGTGACATACCACCTTAAAGAGTGTTTACACTTGTTGAATATGTAGTAACTCACATTCGTAATGATTACAGAATGGATAAATTAAGTTAACAAAATAATATACCACCGAGTATTGAAGACATTTGGATTATTTTGCGGGTTTTTACTAATGAAATTTCCATTGAGAATTACTAGATAATGGGGACATTGTATTCCTACATTTCTTGTACATTCGTCCGTTATGTTTAACTACTGTGCAGCAGTATATCTTTAGTCTAATGAATTCACAAAAACTGACTAATAATAATATTGGTTTTTTAATCAGGATTTTCAAACTGTTTGCCTTGCTATTAAATTGAACTTCCATGTTATAAATTTGCGTCCATAAAGGCATCACAATTATATCCAATGAGAAGTTCTTCGGAGCGTGATAATGTTTACTGGTACAAACCCGGGTCTCTTGGACGATCATCACAGGGGAGTAGCTCAAGCACTATTGGTCAGTCGATTGTAATACCAGTTGTTCATTTAGGTGCCTCTAGAGGATCCATTTCATCAAGTTCATACACAATGGCTTCTCATTCTTCTGAAAGTCTAGATAACACACCAAATGCTCTGCAAACTGATAACGGCGAAAGTACTAAATCTACATTTAGATCTTCATCGGTCCTTACTACTGGTAATCGGCCAATAAATCGACCTGCACCACCACTTACAGATCCTGAAGCTGAAGTCGATGCTTTAACAAATCTCTTAATGCAAAGCATGGAAACTCGGTCGTCTGTATCTTCGGTCGGAGCTTGCGGGACATTAACTTCTGGGCCAGACGGAGTCAATTCTTCTCCAGGTTAGCTTTTTCCGTATATGAACAATTTATTTATTGTATTCCTTCCATAAACTATCAATCCAATATTACTACTTAGATTTATGTGGCAATTGAAATGCTCTAATTCAACGTTAGGTAACACAATATTTGGAAATAATCAGTTCATACCAATTATGGAGTTGCGATTCACTTGCTTAGTTAGGTTTCTGATTAGCCACAAAGTCACGGTTTAAACTTTTGTTTTTTATACTCAAGTATAAGAAACCAAATAGTGTCACTTGGCTTCAATACTGTAGTAGGGACTCAAAGTCTGTTCTATGAATATATACGCACGCGATGTTAATTCGCTGCTAAGTCGATGTGAAAATAGTTTAGTATTTTTACTTGTTCGTTTCAATTAAATTGATAAATTCATCCGCATTGAATAGATATTGGAAACCTAAATACACTTCTTTTTGGCAGTGAGAGACCTTATGAATGGTTGGATCGCAGCTCATATGGTTGTTCGTATGGTTATATCTGTCAGTATAAGAAACGATCAGATCTCAATCAGTCAAACCCAACGTAGAACGTGGTGCATATGTATATCGGTTCAAGTTGGTATATTAACTTTGAAATTACAACCATAATAATTCTCATGATGTAACCTGGGTAGTTGGATTCATATGTCTTTTGTGATATATCTACATGTCTTTTCTGTTCCCCTTAATAGCTGGGAGTTTACGGCGTGGGAGTGGTCTCAATTCTCAGTTTGGACGTTTGCAACAACACTCAGGCCTAACTTCCGCTGCTGGAGGGAATGTGAATGGTGGTCGAGGTAGTCCATTGGCAGCAGCAGTCACTTCTTCAACAACTGGGAGCTCATCAACAAACTCTCCCACTGAATCAGCTTCTAGTATGTGTAATTCTAGTGATACTGCCAGCGCAATGACCAATGCAACTGCGGGTCAAAACATATGTTTTCGATGTCGTCGTCCACTTGTCCCTCCGGAAGGTACCACACTTAGTGGCAGTTTAACTTCGACAAACAACGTTGTGACTCTAACAGGCGCTTTAGGTGTAAAACTTCATGTGGCTTGTTTTACATGTTATCGTTGTGCTGCTCCACTGAAGTCAGATGCTTACTACCACAATCTACGACGTTTGTTATGTCCAGCCTGTGTACGTGATGGGGCTGTCGAGGCATGTTCAAACTGTCATAGACCCATAGGTGATAGAGTAGTTCACGCTCTTGGGATGCCCTATCATCCCAACTGCTTCGTCTGTGTAGTATGCGCAGGTAGACTAGATTCTCGACCTTTTACCATTGATGTTCATGGTCGATTACATTGTCTTACTGATTTTCATAAACGATATGCACCAAGATGTGCGTCATGTGGAAGACCAATTGTACCAGATGCTGGATGTCAAGAAGCACGTCGTGTTGTCTCAGGAAACTCAAACTATCATTTAGAATGTTTCGGAGTCCAAACACTACCTCAAAGCTTAAATATAAAGTCATCAGCATTTAAAGTTAGCGGTAGTATTGCCAGTTAGTAATATTACAGCGAAGAGAATATACATCAATGTACGTCGATATTACCAGAGATTTCCTAGAACCTTTATTCTGAGATCTACATAAGCAGAATCTGATACAGATTTTTGGCTTTACATCAGAAGCTTTATGACATTTATTCGCGTAATACACAATAAACAGAAACTTGGATGATTTCCCTCATATAATTTATGAGCTAATACCAACTTCATTTCTCATTCTGATGACTTTTTCAATGGCAAATTTATGAACTGCTTAGTGCTTCTATTCAACGTTGTTTACACATTACATGTCCTAACTTCCTTTCTTCATTCAGTACACTTCTCTCTGTAACTGTAAAAACCACTCAGTACTAACAATATTCCCTTATATAAATTGTATACATTAGCTTCAGTTTTTGATTAATTGTCTGCTTAATCTGTTTATGAGACGAAACCAAAATCCCCCATGGTCTTACATAAAGGTAACCACCGCCGTTTAGACAACCGTGTATGATTAATGCCAGAATGTCAAAATGCCGTATGAATTGTATACATTGGCTTCAGTTTTTGATTGTCTATTTATGATAACGTCAACCGACAAATATCTTGACAAACCGAGAACTAGCTGGCTACACTGACTTTGCAGACCTACTTTGTCTTGTAAGTACGCAGTCGACCGTCGCTATAGCTCACGGGTATTTAGATTTTAGCTCTGAGTTATCAGAATAGTTCATGCACGTAACAGACTCATGGTTGTGCCCACACAGACTCTTAGGCTTCAGACGGAACCTACATCCCGCATGGTCTTACATAAAGGTAACCACCGCCGTTTAAACAACCATGAATGATTACCGCTAGGGGCAAACAAAGAATACAAACCAGTTACGTCAATCAATAGGCACGTAGGAACTTACATCTCCACAGCTACATTAGGTCGCCTACGTCTGGATTATGACATCCATCCCATCGGCGATTCAAACAGTTACCTTGAGCCTAGAGCGTATACGGTAAGCCTCGAATGCGATCGCTATACACAAATTAATGTCCTACAAAAAATAGTGTTAACCTCAAAACTGAGATATTGGCACCACCTATGTACGTTTCAGTAGACTTGTACCGAGATCTCATCCATGTTGGCATGTCAGAACCGTATGTAAAGGCGATTTAAAAGGACAGTGGCATTGTTTCTCGTTGAGTTAATTAACTGTTTTGATCGTAAATTACGCATCAAAACCACTGTTTACACTTTAATTGAATCTACTCCAGTTAAAGTGATATTATGTTGAGTACTTTGGTTTTGCTTTTGTGTATTTATTGCATCGAAGCATACTTAGTCGACTTTTACTTGATTTATTTAATTAAGGCTTGGGGATTCTTTTACATATCCTGTTTGTGTCACCATTATAGTTTATTTTCAAAATGGCCAGCTTTGCTCATAAATATGGACAACCATATTGCTTATTCCCCGTGGAGGAAGGGATGCAATATGATGAGTGTAATAAGTGGTTCCATAAGATGTGCACCCGACTAAGCCCCACTGCATATAAAAGGTGCTCAAAGCCCAACTCTCACTCGCTTTGTTGCTCGAGCAAAACATTACTCATCCAGTAAGCAATTAGACTCCTGGCGTTGGCTAATAAGGTTGGCGAGGGTTGTACAGGTAATACTGGTACTGATGGCAAAGATTGCGTTGTTGTCATAAGTGCTGTCACGGCACAAGCCAGACATCTAACTGTGCAACCCGAAACCGAACCTTCTACTCTGAAACCACCAATGAGCGAGAGGTCATTAGATATTGGTGGCCATGTTGCTACAGCAGTGACCGGTGATCCAGACAAAACAATTACTGTCCCGAGTAGTTCTAACGTAGACGCTATGACTGATGGAAAATGGTTGATGTGGAAACGCAGAAGAGTGAGAAAAATAGCTAGAACTAATGCCCGTTTACTTGATAAGTCTTTGGTGGACTCACAGGCTACTCCGCCTAAGTCCCAAAGTGAAGCCTCATCAAACATTGTTGTGAGTCACTCGCTTGACTCCCATGACTCAGTTACAATAAAAACTAATCGTAAGACGCCACTATTTGATATACATGATCTAACACCATGATCGGAAGCCGTAAAACGATTTCAAAAGAAGCTAAACGACTGCCTAGTTTAATTATTTGAAATCCAGAGGAGTCGAAAGACAATGACCCTGCTAAAAGACATGCACACGATCTTCAGTTAGCGGGATCTGTGATAAGAAATGTACTACCTGAAGAGGTTTCATGGGTACATACCACATAAATAATACGACTCGATAAATGGGTCGGAGGTAAGAACCAACCAAGAAGGATCTTGAACCTGGTTCTAGGGAGTTTTGAAGAGACATATTATTGAAAAACGCACAGAAAATGCGTGATTCAAACATTCGTATCCGACCAGATTGGCCGCTTGAGGATCGAATAAAGTGGACAATTGCTCTTACGGAGTTAAGAACTCGCAAGTTAGATGGCGAAACCAATCTTACGAGTAAGGGTTTCCGGGTAGTCAGGTCTTTGAAGTCACTGCTTCCGTGGCCTTCATAGGGAGAACGAATGATTCCCAAACCACCTTAAGTGTGTGCTAAACGAGCGCTCGTAGTTTTAGAAATAAAACGTCCGAGGTAAGTCTGACGGTGGATGAATTAAGTCCCGATATAATTGTTCTTACAGAAACTTTGTTCAACGTAGATATCGAATGTTCTGCCACAATTGCAGGCCCTATCTGTATTAGAACTGACAGAGTTTTAACTCGCATGGAAAGAGGCATAATGATATACATTAGGGGTCTTTTTGTATGCAATCAACCATTTCGAACGCTCATCTTAATGGTACATGTGAGGTAGCATGTTGTAAGATTAAATCTAGAAGTAGGTTAGCGACTGTAGGTGAAATATACCGTAGTCCGAGTTGTCTTGCTGACTTTATATTAAGACACATATGTTCTTGGATAATGTTATCTCATCATTGGGGACTTCAACGCACCGCATATCTAGTGGATAGATCTTACGGCTCTAGGTGTTGGTTCCGATAGTGACCCTCTATCAATGTGCACTTGCACAATGTATCGCAAAACCTACACATACCGACTTGAACATGATATGTCACTGGACCTCGCACTTATCCACGACTGTGGGGATGTCTTTAATACTCAGCACCTCGCCTAACTAGTGAACAGTGATCACGATGTACTTCGAAGCGTACAATTTGTCTGCTCCACCCCGTCCCAATATCTGGTGCGCTAATATCCCGGCAATCAGAATGTTATCTCGACAGACTGAACGGTCGATGCGATGGAATAAGCTTAAGGCTACAACCCAGTCGTAACGTCACCGTTTATCCCATGTTCAGTACGTAAGCCAACACATTGCCTTCCATGGATAAATAAGGAAAACCAGAAACGGCGCACGAACTGAGTCTTAACATCAATCTTAATATGTGGGTGTAATCACTGCGTAGGCTTCTTGTAAGCTTGCGCTCAAGCTGACTCCGTTATGTTAAGAGCCAGATGGAATAGGTTTTCGAGCATCAATCTGTGCGGTAGACGCTGCTGAGGTCCAGCGTTTCTCCCTAACCACGGTGTTTAACCGTATTTGAGTACATCACTACTGTTTCTACAGATTTTCGGATGTCATTCCACGCTGCCTCGGGGTGGGCATCACTTACATGGCTGCCTAACTGTTTTTCCTGATATATACTCTCAGCTAAACTATCATTCAGTAAGATCATAATGGGGTTGCTTGCACCATCTTGTGCTACGCATATTATCTCCCTGTCTATTTCGCATTTCTCCTATAGCTCCGGAAAAATCTGTGAATTGTATGATCTGCGTAGGTTGCAAATGTCTGATCGTATGAACATTTAGATCTCCAAGCTGACTTAGGCGATTAGGTTGGATGAACTCGAGGTTGGGGCTTAAAAAACAATTCTAGGGACTTCGTGCTAACGCACATTCGTTACGGTAAGTTATTATGTTACTATTGATGGTAAACCTCTTCCATGAGTTTAAAAACGTATTCTCTAGAAGCCGGGATTACACTGCAAGACGATGTCAGGATTAACACAGGTTTACCAATCTACAATCCTTAATACTGAAGATCCGAAAACCAACCAATCACACAAGAAAGGGATCTACATACCCAAGATTAGCATACCAATTTGAAAGCAGCAAAACCACCAATCGCAATTTTGTCGATCAACTCAATCAAATGAAGTAATGTGACCTGATAGAAAAAAATATACGAACGTCGTTCTACAATATCGCGCAAGCTCCTAACAAAGCATTTCCATTATTGTGGCAACTCATGAAAGGGCTTAGGAATAAACGGTCATGGGAAAGTTTCATACGATTACTGGGGGAACTCGTTAGATACGTTAAATGACGTGACAAAACTGGCGATATTGCACATCAACACGCGTTTTAGGGACAACACCCCTACTTAAACCACCAATTTAATAACAATAGACATATAATTCGTAGAAAATGATTTATTTGGTTACTTTGTATCCGCCTCATGTGGTGCAGAACGGATAATGTCAGAATCACCTTAGAAAATGTATACTGAATTAAAGAGATCTTACCTGGATCTTCAATAGCTAGAGTGCTTACTCTGTAGTATTTGCCACAAGCAGTTCCAAGATCGCGGTTGGTTCCGTTATAGTGATGAACACCAGTCTTTGACAACATCGCGTAATATTCAATTTCAGTTTTCCTAAATATGATTTAACACACATCGTTAAAAATATCTAATAGAAATGTTATTTCGTGCGTCTTCGTAACCCTCACTGGGCTCAGACAAAAGCAAATCAACATACCTTAACGGAGGAGCATTGTTGGCAATTATTATTAATCTCGCTCCTCCTTTGCGCAGGAGACGAAGAGTTTGCCGAAGCCCTATAGAACACTTCCCACTTTTCATCACCAGAGCTAAGCAACTATTAATGGATTCTAAAGCTTTCTAAAAACATAAAAATGAGACAGTGCATATTACAGCTTTTTTACATCCCGTAACTGACTTCCCGTTCGGAGCCATCCTTAGCGTGACAACTCACTGGCGGTATTTTTCTTCTCACTCTTTCAAACAAACAAACATTATACAGTAAGCAATGCAAACTTGAAAAATTAAAACAAAGTTCGGTAATACAGCTAGGATTTTCTGAATGGAAAGGAAGAACGTTTGGCAGAATTTTCTAATTAACTTTGCAGCGCGACAAACATTCCCAGTGTCATTGTATATCACGAGTTCATTCTCGGTAGCTTAGTGTTTCCTATTGAGTATAGTCTAGCCTAAATACTTGTGAGGTGTCTGTTATAGCGAAAGGGGATTGTTTTGCCTAATTTCAAATGATCAAGAAGAGGTATGTATTATTTGCTGTCAAGTGGCAATGGAAGAGCATGATTAATGCATATGGTGATGCGCAGGCCCTTCTCTCTGCTATAACGTGTGGTACTGAACTCACTCTGAAGGAAGATCGTGAATGTATCACAACTCTTCATCATCAACATTCCGGATTTATTCGTATTACGAGAGCACAGCTTGTCGTTCAACCAGACTGGTGTCACTACGCAGGTCGTTAAAATTGAGATATCGTGGCATACGATCCGATAATCAACTCTTTTAAACGCTTGGAGGCGATATGCACCCAGTGAGTGTGTGTTTATGGGAGAGTTCAAATATATGAAGCAACCAGTTGATTTACGTCACTGGACTTGCCAGATTCAAACGTATCAGTTATCGAGAAGCTAATTGCGGAGAGATACCTTGATGATTTTTCATGTAATTTTTGCATTGGAAGGCACGAAATCCACTCGGCTATAGAAAGTTTTACCGATGCTCGTGTGACTAGACCTTGTAACCAGTTAACACCTGTCCGCTCTTAGTAAAGAACATACAGCTAAAGAGTTTACAGACACTGAATATAAGTTTGGAGAGGGATATTCTGAAAAGACTTGTATCATTCGCCCATCTCAGCTACTCGATCTCCTAAAGTATCATTTCGATATATGATCTAACTGCATCTTAAGTAGTACACTTAACGGATTTTAAGTGGTATGTTTGAATTCTAATCTAGTTCCTAAGACAGTGAATGTAAGAGGTTATGATTGGCACTCTCAGGATCTTCTCGTCGTCCAGCCAGTTAAATATCATTCAATTCACATATTTCTCTTATAGTTGTCGGAGGGGCACTTTGAACTAGTTTTCCATGAAGTCTGCTACATTCGTCATCATTTCGAAATAGTTTTCAGGCAAAGTCGATAAAAACATTTTCAGCTTATTAACAGCAATATGGAGAAAATTGACTCCCAGAACTCATATATTTGGGAATAGTGAACTGTTCACGGAAGCCGGGTTCCATGTGGAATGGTTCTGTAAAAGCAGTAAATGACAGAAAGAACATCTTTGTTGCAGGTGACAGGTTGAGTGATGTTTAGATTAATGATGAACAGGGTTCGGACGAAATTACTGAGATACCTAAATTCAGTGCTAGGCCACAACTGTAACTCACAAGCCCTAATAAAAACCTTGAAGCAAACTCATAATTTTGACTGCAACCTGAGCCCGAATTCCTAATACCAAATGAGAATCCTAAATCATAAACTGAGTCCTAATTCTAATTCTAAGTCTCGGGAATACTATTTAGTCCTGGCACTCTGAATCATTAATGCGTATGATTCAAATAGGATCGTAAATTTCTAAAGGTCATTTAAATGATTACTCGTGCTCCTTTGTAAGTCAGCTTAAATCGTCGACCCTGAAAATATCACGCGACTTTTTCCATGGATCTTTATATATGTGTGTATAGCCTGAAAATTATAAACTCAATACATCAACAATTATCCGCAGTAGGACCGTGTTCGGGACGATTTCAAAAATCTAATTTTTGGACTCTGCATTCACCTGGACCATTGCTAACCAACTTAGCTGTCCAGTTCATCTGGTAGAAATATTCCTTAACGGTGTTGAGGACTGTTGGAGACGATAAATCATCAAAAACATAGTTTGTAATTTCATCTTGTGGAGCTTGTACGCAAATGCATGCGTGGGCATTTCTTACCACCCACGCCTAGAGTCGATTGACAAACTTATCGATTAAACGTTTAAATATTTCGATGGCAGTCAATTGACGAACTATCGATTAAATGTTTAAAAGCTCCATGGTAATATCGATATATATATATATACGTTTCAAATTGTGTTTGTTGTGCTCGCTTGTTTTCTGGTTGTTTGCAGAATATACTTCCTATTCCAAGCTTGGACTTCTCCCTCTAGATAGTGGGGCTGGGACGCATCAATAGCTAGCTTACTGGTCTTTGGTCATCGAGTCTTGTTTCTCGTTCGCAGATTAAGTGAACTCGTGAAGCTTCAAAATCTAGCAAGGACTAAAGAGAGACGACCTGAAGTTGAGCTCCAAATCACATATTGTATACGTTCATATTCAAAACGTGTGCTAGTCCAGAAAATATGTATCATAGACTAACTCTCCGGAATCGCGTATCATTGATATACGCAACCTCCGGCGCCTTATTACAAGATCTACGCATAGCCATTCGCATACACTCATTTAACTACCATATAGACTGAACAAATTGTATCCCTCGTCTATTCAGGAACACTCGTGATCATTTTGGGTGCATTGCGTTTAGATATGTGAATAATGTTTGGAACAGTTCATTGTGAGGAGTAATCCGTACACTCTCTGAATAAGCGGAACAGCAAAATTTCGACATTTATGTGTGCGCTTGCACCAACTACAGCTCAGAAAAGTCAAACGTAAACATTGCAGGAAATTCTATGGCTTCTTTTAACAAGCCACTTTTTCAGGAGTAGTTAATGTAGTACGTTATTTTAGCACTCAGGTGTGCTGTAAAGTTCAATGAAACTGTTTTGTCGATTAAATGTCACTGAGCCATAGCCGAACTCACCACGTTAGGTGCTGACCGCAAGGTGTGAGTGCGCATTTAGCTGGTTCGTCACACTATTTCCGCCTAACTCGAGTAAGCCCCCGACCATTCGACAGAGATAATCGACATTGGTGAGCAAGACTTCGAATTGCATTTTATACTTATTCTTTTTCATTTTTACTGTCACTTATGTCAATCAATAACTGTAAATAAATGCTGCTTCATATCAAGATTGATTAGTATTTAGTTCAATTATTTCAATCGATAGAACTAACCAATCAACTATTATAATCGTCTATCGTGGTTCAATACCAAGCATTAGCACCACGTAAATATTCTTGTGTAGTATGTCTGTTAAAATATCAACCAATCGTAAATATACCCACGAGGCAACACAAACACACATCCATTTGTAATTATCCACTTGTGTAAGCAGGGAAAGATCAACTCTCAACTATAAATTCATCTTCCCGCTGAATCACTACACACAATTTTTTGCAAGAAAGTATCCATTGGGCTGCTTTTCTTACTTGACCACTGCCTGCTTAATTACCTAGTCAAAAAGGATATACGAATACCAGAAATTTACGGTGAGTTTGAACTATAAATTTCCTGCAATTCTAGATTTCATCAAGATTGTTCGTTTTGTCAATGCTACGCATCTGGTTTAAATTATTTTTGGACCTATACATGGTCGGTCAACAGCGCTGTGCTAAACCAAGAATTGAATTAATAATACCCCGCATATGATCTGTATTCCCTTTGATTTATTCTCTATCGAACTACTGTCTGTTTCAAACCCTCACTGCACTGGAGCGAGAGTGACTCGAACGAGTTTCATAGTTGCATTATATTATTTCGTACTAGGTTTATGCTGCCTACCAACTTTCCTTAGTTACATATGTGAGTCGTAAGTCGCCGTAATTTGGGTAAATTTATTGTATCTGCACAAACAATCTCAGTCCAAGTCTTTACTATATACGTTATCGTATCAACGTACGTAATATGTTACTTAGCGCTAGATAAAAAGCTCTTGTGAATCAGCCTCTCATGACACGACTATGTTTTCTTCAGCCTCTAAACATTGGTTACATTGAAGGCTACCATTTTGGTTAGTAAATAAGCAGTAAATTTGTAATATCCCAGTGAGTAGAAAAATTAGACTTTTTGACGTATCGTTTATCCACTGTTGGAAAATCTCAACAGAGGACTGTCACTCCATGTTAAGCACCTGGTTATACTCCAGTTATGTTCTAATAATAACTTGCAGTTCTGTAAGTTTTAATGGATTCAGAAAAGCCGCAAAAACCAGTTAAATTTCATGTTGAAGATGAATAGATCAGAAATCTACTCATGATGTAACCTGGGTAGTTGGATTCATATGTCTTTTGTGATATATCTACATGTCTTTTCTGTTCCCCTTAATAGCTGGGAGTTTACGGCGTGGGAGTGGTCTCAATTCTCAGTTTGGACGTTTGCAACAACACTCAGGCCTAACTTCCGCTGCTGGAGGGAATGTGAATGGTGGTCGAGGTAGTCCATTGGCAGCAGCAGTCACTTCTTCAACAACTGGGAGCTCATCAACAAACTCTCCCACTGAATCAGCTTCTAGTATGTGTAATTCTAGTGATACTGCCAGCGCAATGACCAATGCAACTGCGGGTCAAAACATATGTTTTCGATGTCGTCGTCCACTTGTCCCTCCGGAAGGTACCACACTTAGTGGCAGTTTAACTTCGACAAACAACGTTGTGACTCTAACAGGCGCTTTAGGTGTAAAACTTCATGTGGCTTGTTTTACATGTTATCGTTGTGCTGCTCCACTGAAGTCAGATGCTTACTACCACAATCTACGACGTTTGTTATGTCCAGCCTGTGTACGTGATGGGGCTGTCGAGGCATGTTCAAACTGTCATAGACCCATAGGTGATAGAGTAGTTCACGCTCTTGGGATGCCCTATCATCCCAACTGCTTCGTCTGTGTAGTATGCGCAGGTAGACTAGATTCTCGACCTTTTACCATTGATGTTCATGGTCGATTACATTGTCTTACTGATTTTCATAAACGATATGCACCAAGATGTGCGTCATGTGGAAGACCAATTGTACCAGATGCTGGATGTCAAGAAGCACGTCGTGTTGTCTCAGGAAACTCAAACTATCATTTAGAATGTTTCGGAGTCCAAACACTACCTCAAAGCTTAAATATAAAGTCATCAGCATTTAAAGTTAGCGGTAGTATTGCCAGTTAGTAATATTACAGCGAAGAGAATATACATCAATGTACGTCGATATTACCAGAGATTTCCTAGAACCTTTATTCTGAGATCTACATAAGCAGAATCTGATACAGATTTTTGGCTTTACATCAGAAGCTTTATGACATTTATTCGCGTAATACACAATAAACAGAAACTTGGATGATTTCCCTCATATAATTTATGAGCTAATACCAACTTCATTTCTCATTCTGATGACTTTTTCAATGGCAAATTTATGAACTGCTTAGTGCTTCTATTCAACGTTGTTTACACATTACATGTCCTAACTTCCTTTCTTCATTCAGTACACTTCTCTCTGTAACTGTAAAAACCACTCAGTACTAACAATATTCCCTTATATAAATTGTATACATTAGCTTCAGTTTTTGATTAATTGTCTGCTTAATCTGTTTATGAGACGAAACCAAAATCCCCCATGGTCTTACATAAAGGTAACCACCGCCGTTTAGACAACCGTGTATGATTAATGCCAGAATGTCAAAATGCCGTATGAATTGTATACATTGGCTTCAGTTTTTGATTGTCTATTTATGATAACGTCAACCGACAAATATCTTGACAAACCGAGAACTAGCTGGCTACACTGACTTTGCAGACCTACTTTGTCTTGTAAGTACGCAGTCGACCGTCGCTATAGCTCACGGGTATTTAGATTTTAGCTCTGAGTTATCAGAATAGTTCATGCACGTAACAGACTCATGGTTGTGCCCACACAGACTCTTAGGCTTCAGACGGAACCTACATCCCGCATGGTCTTACATAAAGGTAACCACCGCCGTTTAAACAACCATGAATGATTACCGCTAGGGGCAAACAAAGAATACAAACCAGTTACGTCAATCAATAGGCACGTAGGAACTTACATCTCCACAGCTACATTAGGTCGCCTACGTCTGGATTATGACATCCATCCCATCGGCGATTCAAACAGTTACCTTGAGCCTAGAGCGTATACGGTAAGCCTCGAATGCGATCGCTATACACAAATTAATGTCCTACAAAAAATAGTGTTAACCTCAAAACTGAGATATTGGCACCACCTATGTACGTTTCAGTAGACTTGTACCGAGATCTCATCCATGTTGGCATGTCAGAACCGTATGTAAAGGCGATTTAAAAGGACAGTGGCATTGTTTCTCGTTGAGTTAATTAACTGTTTTGATCGTAAATTACGCATCAAAACCACTGTTTACACTTTAATTGAATCTACTCCAGTTAAAGTGATATTATGTTGAGTACTTTGGTTTTGCTTTTGTGTATTTATTGCATCGAAGCATACTTAGTCGACTTTTACTTGATTTATTTAATTAAGGCTTGGGGATTCTTTTACATATCCTGTTTGTGTCACCATTATAGTTTATTTTCAAAATGGCCAGCTTTGCTCATAAATATGGACAACCATATTGCTTATTCCCCGTGGAGGAAGGGATGCAATATGATGAGTGTAATAAGTGGTTCCATAAGATGTGCACCCGACTAAGCCCCACTGCATATAAAAGGTGCTCAAAGCCCAACTCTCACTCGCTTTGTTGCTCGAGCAAAACATTACTCATCCAGTAAGCAATTAGACTCCTGGCGTTGGCTAATAAGGTTGGCGAGGGTTGTACAGGTAATACTGGTACTGATGGCAAAGATTGCGTTGTTGTCATAAGTGCTGTCACGGCACAAGCCAGACATCTAACTGTGCAACCCGAAACCGAACCTTCTACTCTGAAACCACCAATGAGCGAGAGGTCATTAGATATTGGTGGCCATGTTGCTACAGCAGTGACCGGTGATCCAGACAAAACAATTACTGTCCCGAGTAGTTCTAACGTAGACGCTATGACTGATGGAAAATGGTTGATGTGGAAACGCAGAAGAGTGAGAAAAATAGCTAGAACTAATGCCCGTTTACTTGATAAGTCTTTGGTGGACTCACAGGCTACTCCGCCTAAGTCCCAAAGTGAAGCCTCATCAAACATTGTTGTGAGTCACTCGCTTGACTCCCATGACTCAGTTACAATAAAAACTAATCGTAAGACGCCACTATTTGATATACATGATCTAACACCATGATCGGAAGCCGTAAAACGATTTCAAAAGAAGCTAAACGACTGCCTAGTTTAATTATTTGAAATCCAGAGGAGTCGAAAGACAATGACCCTGCTAAAAGACATGCACACGATCTTCAGTTAGCGGGATCTGTGATAAGAAATGTACTACCTGAAGAGGTTTCATGGGTACATACCACATAAATAATACGACTCGATAAATGGGTCGGAGGTAAGAACCAACCAAGAAGGATCTTGAACCTGGTTCTAGGGAGTTTTGAAGAGACATATTATTGAAAAACGCACAGAAAATGCGTGATTCAAACATTCGTATCCGACCAGATTGGCCGCTTGAGGATCGAATAAAGTGGACAATTGCTCTTACGGAGTTAAGAACTCGCAAGTTAGATGGCGAAACCAATCTTACGAGTAAGGGTTTCCGGGTAGTCAGGTCTTTGAAGTCACTGCTTCCGTGGCCTTCATAGGGAGAACGAATGATTCCCAAACCACCTTAAGTGTGTGCTAAACGAGCGCTCGTAGTTTTAGAAATAAAACGTCCGAGGTAAGTCTGACGGTGGATGAATTAAGTCCCGATATAATTGTTCTTACAGAAACTTTGTTCAACGTAGATATCGAATGTTCTGCCACAATTGCAGGCCCTATCTGTATTAGAACTGACAGAGTTTTAACTCGCATGGAAAGAGGCATAATGATATACATTAGGGGTCTTTTTGTATGCAATCAACCATTTCGAACGCTCATCTTAATGGTACATGTGAGGTAGCATGTTGTAAGATTAAATCTAGAAGTAGGTTAGCGACTGTAGGTGAAATATACCGTAGTCCGAGTTGTCTTGCTGACTTTATATTAAGACACATATGTTCTTGGATAATGTTATCTCATCATTGGGGACTTCAACGCACCGCATATCTAGTGGATAGATCTTACGGCTCTAGGTGTTGGTTCCGATAGTGACCCTCTATCAATGTGCACTTGCACAATGTATCGCAAAACCTACACATACCGACTTGAACATGATATGTCACTGGACCTCGCACTTATCCACGACTGTGGGGATGTCTTTAATACTCAGCACCTCGCCTAACTAGTGAACAGTGATCACGATGTACTTCGAAGCGTACAATTTGTCTGCTCCACCCCGTCCCAATATCTGGTGCGCTAATATCCCGGCAATCAGAATGTTATCTCGACAGACTGAACGGTCGATGCGATGGAATAAGCTTAAGGCTACAACCCAGTCGTAACGTCACCGTTTATCCCATGTTCAGTACGTAAGCCAACACATTGCCTTCCATGGATAAATAAGGAAAACCAGAAACGGCGCACGAACTGAGTCTTAACATCAATCTTAATATGTGGGTGTAATCACTGCGTAGGCTTCTTGTAAGCTTGCGCTCAAGCTGACTCCGTTATGTTAAGAGCCAGATGGAATAGGTTTTCGAGCATCAATCTGTGCGGTAGACGCTGCTGAGGTCCAGCGTTTCTCCCTAACCACGGTGTTTAACCGTATTTGAGTACATCACTACTGTTTCTACAGATTTTCGGATGTCATTCCACGCTGCCTCGGGGTGGGCATCACTTACATGGCTGCCTAACTGTTTTTCCTGATATATACTCTCAGCTAAACTATCATTCAGTAAGATCATAATGGGGTTGCTTGCACCATCTTGTGCTACGCATATTATCTCCCTGTCTATTTCGCATTTCTCCTATAGCTCCGGAAAAATCTGTGAATTGTATGATCTGCGTAGGTTGCAAATGTCTGATCGTATGAACATTTAGATCTCCAAGCTGACTTAGGCGATTAGGTTGGATGAACTCGAGGTTGGGGCTTAAAAAACAATTCTAGGGACTTCGTGCTAACGCACATTCGTTACGGTAAGTTATTATGTTACTATTGATGGTAAACCTCTTCCATGAGTTTAAAAACGTATTCTCTAGAAGCCGGGATTACACTGCAAGACGATGTCAGGATTAACACAGGTTTACCAATCTACAATCCTTAATACTGAAGATCCGAAAACCAACCAATCACACAAGAAAGGGATCTACATACCCAAGATTAGCATACCAATTTGAAAGCAGCAAAACCACCAATCGCAATTTTGTCGATCAACTCAATCAAATGAAGTAATGTGACCTGATAGAAAAAAATATACGAACGTCGTTCTACAATATCGCGCAAGCTCCTAACAAAGCATTTCCATTATTGTGGCAACTCATGAAAGGGCTTAGGAATAAACGGTCATGGGAAAGTTTCATACGATTACTGGGGGAACTCGTTAGATACGTTAAATGACGTGACAAAACTGGCGATATTGCACATCAACACGCGTTTTAGGGACAACACCCCTACTTAAACCACCAATTTAATAACAATAGACATATAATTCGTAGAAAATGATTTATTTGGTTACTTTGTATCCGCCTCATGTGGTGCAGAACGGATAATGTCAGAATCACCTTAGAAAATGTATACTGAATTAAAGAGATCTTACCTGGATCTTCAATAGCTAGAGTGCTTACTCTGTAGTATTTGCCACAAGCAGTTCCAAGATCGCGGTTGGTTCCGTTATAGTGATGAACACCAGTCTTTGACAACATCGCGTAATATTCAATTTCAGTTTTCCTAAATATGATTTAACACACATCGTTAAAAATATCTAATAGAAATGTTATTTCGTGCGTCTTCGTAACCCTCACTGGGCTCAGACAAAAGCAAATCAACATACCTTAACGGAGGAGCATTGTTGGCAATTATTATTAATCTCGCTCCTCCTTTGCGCAGGAGACGAAGAGTTTGCCGAAGCCCTATAGAACACTTCCCACTTTTCATCACCAGAGCTAAGCAACTATTAATGGATTCTAAAGCTTTCTAAAAACATAAAAATGAGACAGTGCATATTACAGCTTTTTTACATCCCGTAACTGACTTCCCGTTCGGAGCCATCCTTAGCGTGACAACTCACTGGCGGTATTTTTCTTCTCACTCTTTCAAACAAACAAACATTATACAGTAAGCAATGCAAACTTGAAAAATTAAAACAAAGTTCGGTAATACAGCTAGGATTTTCTGAATGGAAAGGAAGAACGTTTGGCAGAATTTTCTAATTAACTTTGCAGCGCGACAAACATTCCCAGTGTCATTGTATATCACGAGTTCATTCTCGGTAGCTTAGTGTTTCCTATTGAGTATAGTCTAGCCTAAATACTTGTGAGGTGTCTGTTATAGCGAAAGGGGATTGTTTTGCCTAATTTCAAATGATCAAGAAGAGGTATGTATTATTTGCTGTCAAGTGGCAATGGAAGAGCATGATTAATGCATATGGTGATGCGCAGGCCCTTCTCTCTGCTATAACGTGTGGTACTGAACTCACTCTGAAGGAAGATCGTGAATGTATCACAACTCTTCATCATCAACATTCCGGATTTATTCGTATTACGAGAGCACAGCTTGTCGTTCAACCAGACTGGTGTCACTACGCAGGTCGTTAAAATTGAGATATCGTGGCATACGATCCGATAATCAACTCTTTTAAACGCTTGGAGGCGATATGCACCCAGTGAGTGTGTGTTTATGGGAGAGTTCAAATATATGAAGCAACCAGTTGATTTACGTCACTGGACTTGCCAGATTCAAACGTATCAGTTATCGAGAAGCTAATTGCGGAGAGATACCTTGATGATTTTTCATGTAATTTTTGCATTGGAAGGCACGAAATCCACTCGGCTATAGAAAGTTTTACCGATGCTCGTGTGACTAGACCTTGTAACCAGTTAACACCTGTCCGCTCTTAGTAAAGAACATACAGCTAAAGAGTTTACAGACACTGAATATAAGTTTGGAGAGGGATATTCTGAAAAGACTTGTATCATTCGCCCATCTCAGCTACTCGATCTCCTAAAGTATCATTTCGATATATGATCTAACTGCATCTTAAGTAGTACACTTAACGGATTTTAAGTGGTATGTTTGAATTCTAATCTAGTTCCTAAGACAGTGAATGTAAGAGGTTATGATTGGCACTCTCAGGATCTTCTCGTCGTCCAGCCAGTTAAATATCATTCAATTCACATATTTCTCTTATAGTTGTCGGAGGGGCACTTTGAACTAGTTTTCCATGAAGTCTGCTACATTCGTCATCATTTCGAAATAGTTTTCAGGCAAAGTCGATAAAAACATTTTCAGCTTATTAACAGCAATATGGAGAAAATTGACTCCCAGAACTCATATATTTGGGAATAGTGAACTGTTCACGGAAGCCGGGTTCCATGTGGAATGGTTCTGTAAAAGCAGTAAATGACAGAAAGAACATCTTTGTTGCAGGTGACAGGTTGAGTGATGTTTAGATTAATGATGAACAGGGTTCGGACGAAATTACTGAGATACCTAAATTCAGTGCTAGGCCACAACTGTAACTCACAAGCCCTAATAAAAACCTTGAAGCAAACTCATAATTTTGACTGCAACCTGAGCCCGAATTCCTAATACCAAATGAGAATCCTAAATCATAAACTGAGTCCTAATTCTAATTCTAAGTCTCGGGAATACTATTTAGTCCTGGCACTCTGAATCATTAATGCGTATGATTCAAATAGGATCGTAAATTTCTAAAGGTCATTTAAATGATTACTCGTGCTCCTTTGTAAGTCAGCTTAAATCGTCGACCCTGAAAATATCACGCGACTTTTTCCATGGATCTTTATATATGTGTGTATAGCCTGAAAATTATAAACTCAATACATCAACAATTATCCGCAGTAGGACCGTGTTCGGGACGATTTCAAAAATCTAATTTTTGGACTCTGCATTCACCTGGACCATTGCTAACCAACTTAGCTGTCCAGTTCATCTGGTAGAAATATTCCTTAACGGTGTTGAGGACTGTTGGAGACGATAAATCATCAAAAACATAGTTTGTAATTTCATCTTGTGGAGCTTGTACGCAAATGCATGCGTGGGCATTTCTTACCACCCACGCCTAGAGTCGATTGACAAACTTATCGATTAAACGTTTAAATATTTCGATGGCAGTCAATTGACGAACTATCGATTAAATGTTTAAAAGCTCCATGGTAATATCGATATATATATATATACGTTTCAAATTGTGTTTGTTGTGCTCGCTTGTTTTCTGGTTGTTTGCAGAATATACTTCCTATTCCAAGCTTGGACTTCTCCCTCTAGATAGTGGGGCTGGGACGCATCAATAGCTAGCTTACTGGTCTTTGGTCATCGAGTCTTGTTTCTCGTTCGCAGATTAAGTGAACTCGTGAAGCTTCAAAATCTAGCAAGGACTAAAGAGAGACGACCTGAAGTTGAGCTCCAAATCACATATTGTATACGTTCATATTCAAAACGTGTGCTAGTCCAGAAAATATGTATCATAGACTAACTCTCCGGAATCGCGTATCATTGATATACGCAACCTCCGGCGCCTTATTACAAGATCTACGCATAGCCATTCGCATACACTCATTTAACTACCATATAGACTGAACAAATTGTATCCCTCGTCTATTCAGGAACACTCGTGATCATTTTGGGTGCATTGCGTTTAGATATGTGAATAATGTTTGGAACAGTTCATTGTGAGGAGTAATCCGTACACTCTCTGAATAAGCGGAACAGCAAAATTTCGACATTTATGTGTGCGCTTGCACCAACTACAGCTCAGAAAAGTCAAACGTAAACATTGCAGGAAATTCTATGGCTTCTTTTAACAAGCCACTTTTTCAGGAGTAGTTAATGTAGTACGTTATTTTAGCACTCAGGTGTGCTGTAAAGTTCAATGAAACTGTTTTGTCGATTAAATGTCACTGAGCCATAGCCGAACTCACCACGTTAGGTGCTGACCGCAAGGTGTGAGTGCGCATTTAGCTGGTTCGTCACACTATTTCCGCCTAACTCGAGTAAGCCCCCGACCATTCGACAGAGATAATCGACATTGGTGAGCAAGACTTCGAATTGCATTTTATACTTATTCTTTTTCATTTTTACTGTCACTTATGTCAATCAATAACTGTAAATAAATGCTGCTTCATATCAAGATTGATTAGTATTTAGTTCAATTATTTCAATCGATAGAACTAACCAATCAACTATTATAATCGTCTATCGTGGTTCAATACCAAGCATTAGCACCACGTAAATATTCTTGTGTAGTATGTCTGTTAAAATATCAACCAATCGTAAATATACCCACGAGGCAACACAAACACACATCCATTTGTAATTATCCACTTGTGTAAGCAGGGAAAGATCAACTCTCAACTATAAATTCATCTTCCCGCTGAATCACTACACACAATTTTTTGCAAGAAAGTATCCATTGGGCTGCTTTTCTTACTTGACCACTGCCTGCTTAATTACCTAGTCAAAAAGGATATACGAATACCAGAAATTTACGGTGAGTTTGAACTATAAATTTCCTGCAATTCTAGATTTCATCAAGATTGTTCGTTTTGTCAATGCTACGCATCTGGTTTAAATTATTTTTGGACCTATACATGGTCGGTCAACAGCGCTGTGCTAAACCAAGAATTGAATTAATAATACCCCGCATATGATCTGTATTCCCTTTGATTTATTCTCTATCGAACTACTGTCTGTTTCAAACCCTCACTGCACTGGAGCGAGAGTGACTCGAACGAGTTTCATAGTTGCATTATATTATTTCGTACTAGGTTTATGCTGCCTACCAACTTTCCTTAGTTACATATGTGAGTCGTAAGTCGCCGTAATTTGGGTAAATTTATTGTATCTGCACAAACAATCTCAGTCCAAGTCTTTACTATATACGTTATCGTATCAACGTACGTAATATGTTACTTAGCGCTAGATAAAAAGCTCTTGTGAATCAGCCTCTCATGACACGACTATGTTTTCTTCAGCCTCTAAACATTGGTTACATTGAAGGCTACCATTTTGGTTAGTAAATAAGCAGTAAATTTGTAATATCCCAGTGAGTAGAAAAATTAGACTTTTTGACGTATCGTTTATCCACTGTTGGAAAATCTCAACAGAGGACTGTCACTCCATGTTAAGCACCTGGTTATACTCCAGTTATGTTCTAATAATAACTTGCAGTTCTGTAAGTTTTAATGGATTCAGAAAAGCCGCAAAAACCAGTTAAATTTCATGTTGAAGATGAATAGATCAGAAATCTACTTAAAGACGTAGACAGAGAAATGTTCGACCATAAAGAAACAATACATCCCATTGTGGATTGGTATGACATCCAAACAGACCTGTGTGAAGCTAAGAAATACTCTAGCGTTTGATCTCAAACCGGAACATAATACCAGAAGGGTCGCTCAAAAAAACATTATACATGTCTATAAGATGTTGATGAGCGACGAAAAATATAGGGTTTGTGAGTAGTAGCGAGATTCGAAATCAAGAGATATGAAAGAAGTGATGTTCATAGTAGGCTTAGCAGTAACATTTTAAAAGATAGTGGACTCAAGATGGCGGAAAAGTTAATCTCAGAAGCCTTCCAAACAGATACATCTCAGAATGCGAAAGTTTTAAAAGAATTGTAGTGATATTGGTTCCTTACCACACAAACTTTGGAACGGAGTATATAATTATTGGAAAGATTTACACTCAATGGGGGTTAAAAATAGTAAACACAAGAACAAATGGCTTGTGTGGCATTTCTCAGTCTAGCAGGCGCGGTCATTCTGTGTAACTAATCAGTATTCACACCGAATATATCATTCTATCTCCAGCTCAAATATGTTCTATGGAAGCGCTAAACAAAGTATTGGTGATGGTCATGATAGGGCGACTCAGTATGGACTATGATTCTACTTTCACATAAGATTTTATAGATTCGTTAGGTACATCATGACAAATCTACAATTCCGGGTTGGGTTGTAATAGTAAAGAGCAGTGTGTTATTATAGAATTAGACCACAACTCTACAGATTGATGGAGCGATTCAAGCATAACAGAAATGAGTGAAGATATAGTAATGGACCTGAGGGACGATGAGACTACTGTTGGCATATAGAAATAATTTATTTTAAAACAATCGGGTAATTTACAATGTCATGATGTAACGGGTATTTAAACTCATCCATATAACTCCATATCATTTTACCTAATAATAATAATCTGTATATGTTCTATAAAGTTTCTCAGTCTATATCAATTAAATTCTACATCGTTTGTAAGGACACTAGTCTTTGAGTCTGTAAAATGCCGCTCCCATACAACCTCACGGTAAAACTTTCATGTTTGCGATCATCCGTGTAAACCTCTGTTCTTGGTTGCGAATACTGTCTTATGACTGGCAGAAGAGTTGGAGCCGTTCTGTTGAGATTATCAATTTTTGTGGTTTCATCCCAGACTCAGAAAGCCTACTACTAAATCTGAGTAAACTACTACCTACAACATTATAAATCTTTTTCGTGTTTCTGTTCATTAATATATATTTTCTTTTAAAGTTGCTTCTTCGACTTATAATCCTTTCAATGTACAGTGATACTCTTACTAAACTTAATACTTTGTAATTCGTCGTGAGAATTTCATCTCTCTGTGCTAACAGTTCATGACAAATTGAATCGATGTCGGGATCCTTTAGCATTTGCATTATCCATATTATAATGATGGTTGATTTGAGACAACTTAGAGCAAAACAACAAGAAAGCATTTAAGAGACAAAAAACGACACTGGACTTTAGGGAATGATGTAGTGTGGACAACTTTATGCACTTTGGAAAACCTTAGATGAACATCAATTATTAGTGTTGTAAACTTGCAAGTCAACAGATAACTATAGAAGACAGAATTGATGACTTGGATAAAGAACTTTAATATTAAAACTAAAGCCCTTCATGAATAAGTTCCAGATACCTTTTTGATGATCTCATTATGATCCAGTGAATAGAACTTAACTAAATTGTGTCAATCCAAATGATATTACAGATTTCACACAGACGAAGTAATACTGCCAACTGCCTAGAGATATCACTCTTAAATGAGTTTACGATCGTGATTTAACAACTAGGGTTAAGATAAGATTTAAGATTAGAATTTGATTAATGACTAGGATGTAAGGTTTTGGATTATAATCCAAAACCTCACCCCATTTCATCTATGGACGAGAATATTTTTTTTTCTCGTATAATTTATGGACGACCTTTGAGAGACGCTGAAGTGACTCTGAGGGTGGACACTTACCGATTAGGACTAAATGAGGGTTATAAAGCGGTTAGAACTCCCATTTACAGTTGATGGTTAGGGTTAAAATGTAGGGTTTGCATCAAGAACTGAATTTTGCGCCAAAATTCGTGACTCGCTATCTTATTTTTTAACATGCGTAGACCGTCTTACTCGATGGCCAGAAGCAGTACCCATTAAAGATATTACTGCTGAAACAGTGGCCCGCGCCTTCGTCGAACGATGGGTGGCAAACTTCGGCTGCCCAACAACAATCACTACATATCGTGGACGTCAGTTTGAATCTGAACTGTTCCGTTGTCTGACCATGAAACTAGGAATCACTCGCTTTCGAACGTCGGCCTACCACCCACAACCAAACGGGTTAGTCGAACGTTTTCACCGACAAATAAAAGCGTCACTATCAGCCTCAAACATTTCTCAGTGGACTGACGCTCTCCCACTCGTCTTACTAGGCATACGCAATGCAGTGAAAGCTGACGTTGGATACACTGCTTCTCAACTCGTTTATGGTACGACCCTTAGACTTCCAGGAGAATTCGTGGATCCCTCATCTTCTTCAATGAACATGGATCTAACCTCCTACGCGAACATGCTTACAAACGCAATGCGTTCAGTTCAACCTGTTTCCACTCGACCGCGATCAACTGATGATTTCGTTCAACCTGAATTACGATATAGTATACACGTCTTCGTACGTTGAGACTCACATCGACGACCTCTCGAATCAACATATGAAGGACCCTTCAAAGTTCTTCAACGCGAATCTAAGTACTATATAATCGATAAGAACGGAACCAACGAAAGGATCAGTATCGATCGCCTCGAAGCAGCGTATTTAGAAGGAAATCCTATTCACGTCGATTTTCCTTCAATACAATCGCACGACACAACTCCTGCACTTATAATACCTCAATCGACAGCAGACAACACGTTGATACTTCGACAGTATCCGAAAACATACTCAAAACAACGCGTTCTGGAAGAAGAGTAAGATTTCCAGAACACTTGAACGATTACTGCACGTAAGACACAAGTTAACATTTTATATCCTCTCGATTTCCCCCGGTACTATATATAATTTTTTTAAAAAAAAACCCGAATTTAATATGCTTATATATTTTCATTATTTTTTTTATTTCAAAAAAGAAAAAACAAAAAAATAACGATATTATAAAAATCCTTTTTTAAGCTATTACGTGAGCACGAGTTTGTTTTCCTTTTTCTTCGCCCGTTTTGTGTTTTCACGCGCGTACTAGTGTATTCCGACATGCACTCACATATTTTTCTTTACTTTTCCAGGACGACTGGAAAAGACGATGAAAAGAACGATGAAGTTGCGAGAAACGAAAATCTGCATTGTACTTTTTTTCTACTATATTGTACATCATGGTCCATTATAGTAAGGAAAGACGACCAGACGCTGCTAAACCTAGCAAGCTATCAGAAGAGTGTTTACCAACGAAAAACTCGTTGGGTTTAAACTTCTGGCTGGCCACGTCTTAGGGTCATCACTACCCCACTACGGGGGGAGTGGTCTGTAGCGGTAAATAATTCCCCAAAATCAAATAGCTCTGTAAGTTTTCGACATTGGATGCTGACCACAGTTTTAGTGGACTCATCTAGCTGAAGTCGCTCGGTCAAGCATCCGCACCAGATCACGTGTGGGAACGCCGTGCTCAACATCTGCCGTGATCGCTAGCCAGATTAGTGCAAACGATCCTCGATATATTGATAGCTTATCAAATATATCTTCGATCTCCTCACTTCTGTCTTTTGATTTTACTTGGTGGGTGTGCTTCGTATTAGATCGTGTTACTGGTTAAAGCGTTGTCAAACTCCGAATACCTCTGGCATTTTCACTATCAAATAATGTATGACAGCAACAGTACCAAAGGCATTTTTCCGTATTTTTAATCAGACTGATTTGAATCAGTATACACATTAGAAGCAGGCAACTCTACTTACTAGACTGATCTGTTTCATTACAGTCTTCAAACAATATACTTAAGTATACCATAACTCTTTCGACTAAACTGAATTATACGTCAACCAAGAAAGCTAAACTAAGCAAGTGTCATAATTATTGTTTCATTTGCATAAACATGTTGCTCAAAGTAGTTAAAGGGACATAATTCAGCGATAAAACCAAAACACGAAATATGGGCCGGTCGAACTTACCTAAGAGAAGACAAAGGATATATATATGTATTGCTTTCAGACTGAAGACAACAGTCAGTTGTTCATAAAAACATAGTTTACAGTACAACAAAACTTCCTTCAGTAACATCATGCAGCGACGGTCTGTCTGGAAACAATCAATTATGAGATTAAACTCACTATGACTTTGGATGTCACTCCAGCGTGCAATGAATGTACAGTGTAACGCAGTCCGACGTGGCGAATAAAAGTTATAACCAGAGTAAAATTAACAACATAATCTAGTTGAATAATTAAAAATACATTATGAAATGACAAAATCTGTGGTTACTTGAACGCACAGATGACTCTGGGCGATACGTTAAGTTTATATGGTTGCGTTGCGGATAAATTCACACATAGAGATACATTCCTTATTATTATTAATGGCTTTACCCAATATTATATTTTGGTACAATATGGAATTCTCAGCACAAGGTACTTTAACAAGTTTCTTTTGCAAAATAAACAAAAACAATAACAAAGAAGAAAGGAAAAAATGTTGCGGCCCAGCACTTCCTGACACGTTGAGTTTAGTTACACTTTAAACTGTTTCCAGTGGTCCTCCATAGTAGTTTCTACTTTTTTCAGTAGATCCTGTAATGCTTGGAACCTTTTGCGGAGAGCTATCTTGAATTCGTTTAGTTTGTCAGAAATTAGAAGGAAAATATATTGAACCTTTTTGATGCTCTTTGCCCAGTTATCCACTGCTTCCTTAGCTTCAATTTCATCATGGCCACAACGAGGTGGTGATCTGGAGCTATGTCAACCATGTCTTCCATTGACCTTCTGAATTTTTTAATGATGTAAATGTGATCAATCCGGTTTATGGCACTAGGTTTTCCATTTTCCACCTGTATGTTGGAGAACAGGTCTTACAGACAGCCATTGGTGTATGAGGGATGATAAAATTACAGTTATTGTGGGCTAGATACTGTTTTGTTCGCAACACCCTTATTTTAGAAGGACATCAGACCAGTCAAGCCAGAAGTCAAGGATAGTACGGCTTACATACTCGTTATCTGGTGAGGATGCGGAACCGAGCGCTTTACACTAAGATGTGCCCAGTAAAACTACTAACGTCAATTTCAGTGTCAAAGACTAGCAGAACATGTTTCGATTATCAGATCGTCTTTATCCAAAGCTCGTGTTATTTGTGATTGTTGTCAATTCGTCTCGTTGTCAGATGTATATGAATTACATTCGCTTACTGAGTTGTTGGCTCACTTTTTCCTTTGTTATCTTCTCTTCTAGATAGTCTTACTTACCGATCCCAAATACTCAAGCACATAATGCACCTTCTGGCTAGAAGCTTACCTACGAAAAGCTGAAAATTATACACTGGAAGCGGATTGGACTGTGTTTCTAATTTCGATTCCTAGGTGGCGAGAATACAATTTATGGACGAACCAATCAGATACAAGATAGCGAGTCACGAATTTTGGCGCAAAATTCAGTTCGTGATGCAAACCCTACATTTTAACCCTAACCATCAACTGTAAATGGGAGTTCTAACCGCTTTATAACCCTCATTTAGTCCTAATCGGTAAGTGTCCACCCTCAGAGTCACTTCAACGTCTCTCAAAGGTCGTCCATAAATTATACGAGAAAAAAAAATATTCTCGTCCATAGATGAAATGGGGTGAGGTTTTGGATTATAATCCAAAACCTTACATCCTAGTCATTAATCAAATTCTAATCTTAAATCTTATCTTAACCCTAGTTGTTAAATCACGATCGTAAACTCATTTAAGAGTGATATCTCTAGGCAGTTGGCAGTATTACTTCGTCTGTGTGAAATCTGTAATATCATTTGGATTGACACAATTTAGTTAAGTTCTATTCACTGGATCATAATGAGATCATCAAAAAGGTATCTGGAACTTATTCATGAAGGGCTTTAGTTTTAATATTAAAGTTCTTTATCCAAGTCATCAATTCTGTCTTCTATAGTTATCTGTTGACTTGCAAGTTTACAACACTAATAATTGATGTTCATCTAAGGTTTTCCAAAGTGCATAAAGTTGTCCACACTACATCATTCCCTAAAGTCCAGTGTCGTTTTTTGTCTCTTAAATGCTTTCTTGTTGTTTTGCTCTAAGTTGTCTCAAATCAACCATCATTATAATATGGATAATGCAAATGCTAAAGGATCCCGACGTCTCAACCCTTTTAATTGTAATACAAACGAACAGCAGAGTCTCATATCTGCTTTATATGATGGTGGGTCGTTTGTAAAGTTAATTATATCTAAATTTTTGTGTAGCCCCAACCCTCACAAATTTCAGAGTGAAAAGTTCTTTAGAATATCTATCTAGTGATTATTTCAGCATACCCTTCGTAAGTTGAGCACATTTGTCTTCAAGTAATTAAGTTTTGGAAGTCAATAAACTTTGTTTTTGTAGTTCCAAGTACTTACGCACTTATTTTAATCCTTTCTAGGTACGCATCAACGAGAATTCCTCAGTGGAGGAGTTGAAGGATGCAATTCTCAAATGCAAACACATGTTCTTGGCTTTATCTAACGATTCGTCGGGAAGAAAAGATCGCATATTAGATCGGTTGATTCAATTAAGGAGGATTTTACAGGATGTTAAGGTGGGTAATATCTGTCGCTACTGTTTGTCAATTATTATTGTGATTGGAAATAGTTAATCAGTTTTACCTTAGCTTCAAGCGTACCGGAAATTCCGATTACAATTTTTGTACATCATGCTTCTCAACTAAAATTATCAAACTAAAGCACAGCTCATCAGATAATGAGTAGATATAGTTCGTCTCCATATGTACTCCGAACAGCTTCTGAGTTAAGTTGATTGTTTTAAAATAAGTTATTTTACTACGTTTACAAACCAGCATTTTTATTCCCAGGAAACTTAAGACCTTAAAAGTAATAAAGTATGTTAGTGAAAAATATAAAGGACTTTGGGTCCAAAGCATCCGTTTAATATCTGACATTGCTAAACATCGTGTAAGAAGTTACATATTAACTGAATAAGGTTCACTTAACAGTAACAACGCGTTACAAGCTCAATATAAAATAGTCCAAAATTAATTTTATTTATATGTCTCTACTTTTTTGTACTTCTATAGGATGTGAATGTGGTTTAGTTAAATAATCCTTATTGGATTAGAATAAAGTTAACCGTGTTCATGTGAATCCACAAAGTTTATTAACGTCCTAATAATTTTGAGTTTCCTAGCTGGGTGCATCAGCGAATTGAGCATAAAAGCTTAAATAATTTGGTTCATGTAGATCAAAGTTCACAGTAGAATAGGTTCATACAGTATTTAACCTCCTAAACATATCGAGCACTTCATGATATTGTTTATTTGTCCTGACACATTTCCTTCGAGTCGTCTATTATGATATCCCTTTGGCTGTTGGTTTTCCGTTCCTTTTTTATCTCCCAGGAGTCTAGATCTTTGTCCCTCCTTACTTTTCAAAATCCATATATAGTGTTGTCAATTGGTTTTTTGAAGAATCGATTCAAAATAGTCTGACATCTCAAGTCTTTATTTTACCAAACTTTACCATCATTTTCAACTTCTGAACAATTGTACTCCATTCATACTGACAGGCATTTTGCGTAGTGCGTATTCATTTTATTTCTCACTAGTACGATGTTTGGGATAACTAAATCTGACCGATTTTTCACTGCCATCACATGAAATAGTTGTTGCCGAAAGTTTTTGTATCATGTTTGCTTCCAGAGCCTTTGTTCTTATTAGAGTTTAAATAAAGGACTGACGTACTATGCATGTTTTGTTTGCGTTTTACATCTTTATTTCACTTTATAGTACTTGTCAGTATGTGTGAAAGTTCGTTGAAATGTTAGCGTTAGTCAGTCAGTCAGTCAGTAACAACGTGGAACTTCGTACGTACGTACATCAGTTTGAGTTGCCATACTACATTAGCACAGAGATTCAGTTATCGATTCGGATCCCGTGGTGGTAGAGGTAGTGAAGCTATAAGTAGTGGTAGGGAACATTAGGGTTATCGATCGGACTAAAGACACGTAAAACACATAAGAGCAACCTAGAGTTCTGATTGGCCCTGCTTCTCTGTCTAGCCCAGCCAGTTGAGTCCAGAGCACAAGTCTCAGCCTCAGCGATATGAATCGTTATATTTCAAACATACTGTTTATATACCAAACAAACAGACTACATCGTACCGTAAAATAGAAAGTAACATTTGTACAGGATTTGACCTCCAGGAAATGACACAAATGAATAATGACCAATAGGGAAATGACACGTTGGAAGAATATTGACCAATAGGGAAATGACACTATTTCTCACTCAGGAATAGCATTAGATTATTTCAGGGGTATTTTCTGAATACCCTAACAATATCCTTATATGCGATCTTTCCTTTATACATTACTATAATCGTCCATTGTACTGAGGTAGACACCTGTTTCTACCCGGATTAAGTGGATTAAGTGTCTAAATTACAGTGAGCAGATAAACAATACAGTTCTGATGAGAAGTCGTGACCAGTGGAGCTAATCCGTGTCGGGTAGAATCAGGTGTCTACCTCAGTACAATGGAAGATGGTCGCGCAACTTCGTGGATTGGTTGAGGTTATACATTAACACCATTGGATGCCGGCTCAGTGATCCAGTAGGTTAAGCGTTCGCGCGCGAGAATGAAGGCCCTGGGTTCGAATCCCGCGAGCGGGATCGTAGATGCGCACTGCTGAGGGGTCCCACAATAGGACGAAACGGCCGTCCAGTGCTTCCAGGTTTTCAGTGGTGGTCTACCGTCAATCGGTTCACGATCTCAATCACAAAAAATATTACAAGGACAAAGTGTGGGAGCGGATTGTGTCAGCCGGCCGATCAGTCACCGTTTAGAACCTGGTGTACATGTACATCGATTCAATTTGTCATGAACTGTTAGCACAGAGAGATGAAATTCTCACGACGAATTACAAAGTATTAAGTTTAGTAAGAGTATCACTGTACATTGAAAGGATTATAAGTCGAAGAAGCAACTTTAAAAGAAAATATATATTAATGAACAGAAACACGAAAAAGATTTATAATGTTGTAGGTAGTAGTTTTCTCAGTTTGGGTGGAGAATGCTCGTTCACGGCCTATGCTCCTCCACGAGGGGTAACCGACGTAAGTATATATATATATATATATATATATATATATATATATATATATATATATATATATATAAATTTATACGAAATTATTATTGTGATTGTGGTGCTTGTATTCACGAAACCACAGGATCTTGTGTGAGTTGTGGGTTATAAAACAATGTTTACGAATTAATTTAATTACTACATTTTTGTTCAGGGGAACAATGAATGAACACGTACCAACTACTCGGACTGTTATTAATAAGATTTAATGTCACATAAAATGTCTCAATACTGCTTCGATGTTTGTTTACTCGCTTCTATGTAACCAAAAAAACAAATTAGGAAAAAGCAGAATATTGAAGCTACCTGAAATTATAATATACATGATAATTGTTTGTAACATAAAGAACAATGTAAGGTGTTTTCTTGTAACTGGTCCCGGACAATCTAAACTAAGGTTTCAATTCATTTGCCTCTAGCTTCTCTCCGACTACTTTCCCGCACAGCTCAGATTATTTTGTAATCATGTGTGTTAGTTTCATTTTAAAGCCTCAGTCCGCTCCAATTTGTCCAACGAAAAACGTCTAGATATGTAATGGCCTATGTGTTTGTTAACGGGGCATAGAGTGGATTAAAGCATGTTGCGTGCGCAATCTTTTTAATGCACACTGATTGGCTGTTTCTCATCCAATCCGCACTCAGTCAGTCAGTCAGTAACAAAGTGGAACTTCGTACGTACGTACATCAGTTGGAGTTGCCATACCACATTAGCACAGAGATTCAGTTATCGATTCGGATCCCATGGTAGTAGAGGTAGTGAAGGTATAAGTAGTGGTAGGGAACATTAGGGTTTGATGATGTTATTTAAGGAGTATAGTCCAGTGGAATAGATTTAGAAAGAAAATAAAGGACATGAAGAATTCAGAAGATTAGAGTTTGAGAGAACACAGAGTGGATGCACGTGCGCCATTGCAAACGATTTTGAGCCATATCATTCAAGGTCGCTAACCATCGGTTGCTATCATCTCGCGGTTCCCAACCAGGTAGTCTATACCTACCAACATGACTCAGTCCACTTGTCAGTGACTTCACGGATTTCTGCCATGTTTTGGTCTGGCCACCTCTACCTTTCTTCCAACCTACTCCTACACCATAAAACATCGCACGTCGGGGCAGTCGGTGGTCGGGCATACGTAACACATGTCCCAACCATCTCAACTGATGAAGTTTCACTACTTCCTCAATTGATTTGCCATCCTTACCTAGTACCCGTTTCCTAACAACCGCATTACTTACTCGGTGGTCCCAGGATATACGAGCAATGTTTCGAAGACATTTATGATCAAATACTAGTAACCTACGAATATCCTCTACTCTTACTGGCCATGTTTCACTGCCATAAAGTAGGACGGAACGAACTGCTGCGCAGTAAACACGTCCTTTGGTTGATATACGGATATCTCGCCTACGCAACAAACGACGCAAGTTAGCAAAAGCTAGTCGAGCTTTCTGTATCCGTGCTGAGATTTCGTCACACACCAGACCACAAGGGCTGATGAGACTTACAAGATAAGTGAAGCGGTCGACACGCTCAACTACTTCACTCCCTATCACTAGTCCGGGTGCCGATGCAACCCAATCCTGAACCAACATTTTGCATTTCGAGGGAGAAAATCGCATGCCGAACATGCTTGCCCTGACCGTTGTTGCTACCTTGACGTGGTGGTCGGGCTTGCCTATCGTGATGAAGCAACTGAGCTATACTGGCTGGAACAACCGTTCCTCAAGGTCCTACCAAGCCAGACAGGTCGGTTGAAGAGCGGTAAGACTAAAAGCAGCAAAACCAAGGTCCGAAGGCGAAGTCGTACTGCTGACTGTACAGAGGTGTGACAGCAGTAAGGTGTTTCCTTCAGACAACCAGCATGACAGCGATGCTGCCTTCCCACAAGGAGGGGTGGGGTTAGAAATGGTCGACCCTAAAAATGCACACCTCGCCTTATCCCACGGATATCCGTCTCCGGCGGTAAGGACTCGACAAGTACGGAGCTAACACAAAAATCACTCATAAAAAGGTCGTGTGTGACCGACCTCAAGCAGCTGTCCCTTGGGCACTGCGGTCACGCTCTCAGGTCACTATGACCAACTCTAATCCAATTTCCTTTTCAGGTACCTCCAGAAGAACCCTTCCACGGTGTGGGCAACCGGGAAGTGATAACCGCCCTCATACCTCTAACAGCACTCAAGACCACTGTATTCATAGTCAACCTCCCTCTTCAATTCCTATTATTCCTCCTACATCGACTTTATACACTAAACTTCCTCTATTAGCTTCCTCCTCAAGTGTCACCACAGCCAACGATTCTAATGCTCAAAACACTGTCCCAGGTCTACTGAAACCTCTCTCCAAACTACACATTGGAGCCTTCAACGTACGCACACTATGTCAAATCGGTCAGCAGGCTTCCTTGGCTAAAACCTTAGAATCTCGTACGATTGA